ACATACAGCCACATGCACGCACGCACGCACGCAGCTCACGCACTCACTCGTTCTCGCTCTCTCTCTGTGTGCTTTCTTGTCTGGGTTTGCATGTGTGTGTGAGTATGCCTATGTGCGTGTGGATCTTTTCGGGTGAATGACCGCCGAAATTAAATTTTTTGTCGATTTTAGACTTTTACTATGTTGACGTTGATGATGATTGTGTATTGTGCCGTTGCTTCGCCAGCCTTTGTCGAAGCTCGCACTCGCACACAAACTCAACGAAGAATGAGCTGGCATATAGCGAGAGAGAGAGAGCAAGAGGGGGGCAAATACAGCTATAATGCGCTGCTTTATAGTTTAGTTCGCACTATCACGCGTACATTTTATGAATGCGGGGAAGTGGGTGGCAGATGGGCAGCAGGGAACGACCTGCAAGCTCTGTACGTGGCTGCGTGTGTGTATGTGTGTGTGTGTGTGTGTGCCTAGACTACACAATCAGCAAACGCAGCGCAGGCATTTCACTCAGCAGCAACAATAACAACGAAAACGTTGAACGACAACTTTTTTTTCGTCGTTTGCTCTTTTAATTTTTTCTTTTTCCTCCGCTGCAAGGGCCTGCCAGTCGGCCAGGGTTAGGGGGGCGTAGGGCGCTGGGGCGGTACGTGCGATCGCCAGCCACTTTCGACAACGAGTCTTTCGCTTTTTTCTCTTTCTTTCTTTTTTTCTTTTCTTTCTTTTTTTTGTTAATTTTTTGGCCGCTTTCTGTTTACGCCGCATTTCTTTCACTTTGTACCGTACTATCTGTTTGCTGTTTTCTGTTTCACATTTTATTGTCGTCTCCGCTCGCTTCTTTTTTCTCTCTCTCTTTTTTTTGTATTTTTATGAAGTACCGAGCGCCAAATGCCGAGCGGCGAGCTGCGAGCTGCCTGTTGCCTTTTTGGCAAAACTCGAGACAGCTCAAAGTGAAAATTTCAATAAAACAAAGTTGCCAACTCTTCTCTCCATCCCCACCCCCCTCCTCCTGTTGTTGTTGTTGCGGTTGCTGTCGCGGAAGTCATAAAGGCAAATTGCATGCATATTTTAGTTGAGTATTACGAGCCCCAGAGCCCTAGCCACAGTCCCCACAGTACCATCCGCTGTCCCTTCCCCCTAGCGGCCCCCAATCGTCCCTCAAGTCAGCTGCACACGCAACGCACGCAACTAAAAAAGTTTATAATTTTAGCATTTTGTGGCTTTTAATTGTTTGACTTTTTTTGTTGTTTTTGCTGCAGTTGCAGGTGGGAAAAGCGAAAGGGGAAAAGCAAGAACAAGAACAAGTTTTGGATAATCAGAATTAAAATTAAAACTCAAAATTTTTACAAAATTAAAAAAATATTAATAAAAAAAATAATATATTAATAAAATATATTATAAATTTATTTTTTATTTTTTAGCTAAAAACTCGTTTGTTAAGAATTTTGTTTTACTTAAAATTAAATTTTAAAAATATATTCAACATATTTAAAAAATTTAAAAAAAATAGCAATTTATTTTGTAGTTAAATAATTATTTATCTGAAATTTTACTTTCTATAAATTATTATTATGTGGAAATTTTTTATTGCCTTTTATTATTTAAAAAATAAATCTTTTGGTTTAATTATATGAAGATAATTTCCATTAATTAATAATTAAATGAATTAATAATAAATAATTAAATCTCCAATTATTCATGCTAAAATAGTATTTTAATTTCCTAATATTCTCTATCTTCTCTACAGTTTCCATACAAATTTAGATGTTTATCACAGGAATTTCAAAAAAACAAAAATCAAAAAAAAAAAGTTGATTATGTTCTCATATTTTTTAAGGCAAATTTCATGTTATTTATGCGCAATAGATTAAACAAATATAATAAAAAAAGCGTTAATGGAACTTGTTTTCCCTGATGTTTTACACGGCCTTAAATAAGGACATCAAAAATATAGAGGAAAAATGCTAATAATAGTTTTTTTTGGGGTCAGCGCACGCAACATTTTCGCTTTGATTCGACACGAGTAGCTGGCGGGGCGGTTAAGGGTTTGGGGGTTAATTGAAGGGGCGCTGTAAGGCTTATTTCTTGTCCATTTGCCCAGCTAAAGGTTTCTCACTCGTTAAACACAGAGATTGAGGCCTGGCGATTAAGATTTATGACGGCCAGGACGAGCGAAAGGCAGCAAAAGCAGGAAAAGTAGGAAAGCAAACGCATTAACCAGCAAAAACAAAAAAAAAAAAAAAGAAAAGAAAAACGAAAAGCCTGACAAATGCTCATTATTCATTTTGGGAACGCTGACCCCGACGAGAGGTCAAAAAACGCAAAGCTTTGCTGATAACAGCGAGGCAGCCAGGGAGGGGCAGTGGGAGAGGGAGGGGCAGGGTAAAGGCTATAGTTGCAGCAATTTATATTATTATTATCATATATATACATATAGCCTATATATATGTTTAATGTAGATATGGCAATTGCATTGAGCCAAAAATAAATTCAAGCAAAAACAACAAAAAATTGTAAAAAAAATATATAAAAATTGCCAACAATTTTTACACACACAAAACGTAGCCATAAAAATGTAAAGGTGTGTGCCAGTGTGTGTGTGTACAATTCATATATTTATATAAACTTATAAACAGCCAAAAAAGAAACAACAAAAACAAAAAGAAAACAACAGAAAAATTTTAACTTTTTTTCTCTTTTTGTTGTTGGCATTACAATATCGCTTTTTATTGCTGGCGCGCGAATTTTAATTTGCAACTGACTCTGACTCGTGTGTGTGTGTGTGTGTGTGTGTGTGCACCTATTGCACACATAGGTATACACATATACCTGTATCTGTGAGTCAGCTTTTGAGCAAAGGGTCTCTTTCATTGGCGGCTTATTGAAGGCAACTTAGTCAGCAAACTGATTGCCATGTCGAATTAGTTTAATTGTTAATGCAAACGACACACACTGAGCGAAAATAAAAGTGAGAAGGCGAGAGGGAGGGCGAGCTTGCTGTGTGTTTCATAATATTTGTTGCGTCTTTGCTTCATGGATTTTCCCTACAATATAATTCCGCTTGAGAAACTCAAAAGTCTCTCAAGTCGGATGTCTGAACTTTCACTGCCAACAGCAGCAGCAGCAGCAGCAGCAACCAGCAGCAGCAGCAGCTTAATTTATTTCGCCGCTGACCAATCAGCTAACCGAGCGACCAGCTAACCGACTGACACTGACTAACTAACATACAAAAGCAGCTCACGAAAACAAAACCAGCTCAAAAAATAAAAAAATTATAAAAATTGCAAATTGTAATTTGCGTTTTTCCCTGCGCCTAGCTGCACCTGATGTGGGCTGTGTGGCAGGTGTAACTTTGCTAGGCAGCAGAGCTCTTTTAGTTGCGTAGTTCAAAGTAATTATTTATAAAGTTTAGCAAATTAATATTTTAAAAAAATGAAGACAAGCTTTTCTATACATAAAACTTATTTTTTGTACATTTATAAAAATTTTAGTTATATTATTTATTTAAAAAAAAATTAATTAAATTCGAAAAAAAATTTTTCCTATTACATATTCAAGTTAGAAGTTTTTTTGTAAAAGTTTTTTGTTTATAGTAAAAAATGTCTAGCAAATTCACAGTTTCCAGGAATTAGCAAGACGTGCCTAATAGCTTAATATATAATATACAAATATATATAATATATATATTTATATATATATATATATATATATTTATATATATATATATATATATATATATATATATATATATATATATATTGAACATGTAAGTTTAAGGTAGCATTCGTAGAGAACTTGAAAAAGCTTCAAAGAAAAATGAGTGAAGCTGGGAATGTTTCGAAATTAATATGAAAACCTTTTGCTTACGTTAAATTTTGACTAAAGCAATTCCCAGCTGAAATAGAACAGAATTCTCCAGCTACTGCTACAAATCATATATCGTATTTAAAGGTAGTAGCAGAACATTTTGTAGTTGAGCTAAGATTATTTCTAGATACTTGAGCAGATCTTTAGATTTTTAAATTAATTTTTAGTGCTAAGTTCAAATATAAATTTAACATCTTGAAAGGCAAAACTGAGCTTTGAGCTGGCTAAAATATTTTCATAAATATTTGCGAATATGGCAGATCTCTTATATATATAGCAAGAGCTAAAAAATTGTTTTAAGGACTTATTTAACTTTAGCTTTGTGGATCCAAGACGTTTTTAGGCATTAATAAAACTTCAACTCTTGCAAGCTCTTCTCTAGAGTAGAACCACTCAGAAATGTGGCATTCTCTAGCGAGCTCTTGAGATTTAGATAAATTTATATACAACTAAAGCATAGATTAAATTTATTTTTGCAGCATAGAAAACTTCAAAATAGCGCACTATATGGGCAGGATTAGAGTTGGCCCAAATTATAAGACAGAGTCAGCTAGAGTCTGAGTCTTCGTGAATTCTTTTAAGTATTTTGAGTAATAGGTACAGTCTGCTCAAAGACCACTAGTAGATCAAATTCATATATAGAAAAAGCTATACTTAAGTACTGAAAAAAACTTCAGTTCCCTTTTGTGTGCCTTAAGAGTTCAGCTTTCAGCTTAAGACTTAACTTTAAGCTATCTTTAAGAGTTATTTCTTATATATAAGATAGATATATATCTATCTTATGCATATATCTCAGAAACTTAAAGCTTAAGTTGGCGCACACATAACGAGTCAAGTTGTCGATATCCTTTAAAGTTACTTCTTATATCTATTATATATATATGTTATTTATTTATCTCTTAAATATATCTCTGTATAGCTGAAGATTGAGACTGAAGATTTAGATACCCCGTAGGAGCAAGGATCCTCAAACTACTATATACATATATCTATATTATAAATATATCTCTTAAATTTCTAGCTTAAGCTGGCTTTCAGATCAAGTTTCATATATTAGAATTCCTTTCATATCTATATCTCATATCTTATCTCATTCATATATCTTTACAATATTTTAGAGTCATTGGATCGCGCTTTACCTTTGATTGAACCGCTCGAGTTGTTCTGTCCCGCTGGCGATTGGACGTTGCTTTGACCCAGGGTATTTGCGTGTGCTTCCAGTTTCGAAGTGACGCTGCTCCACATGTCAAACATACGTTGCGTATACATAATTAAAATAAACGTCTAAGCGCCTGCCACCCACGAAACTCGTATGTTCTTTGCTATTATTGCTATGATTATTATTATTGTTTGTTGTTTATTGTTGCAATTGTAGACTCAAGCGTAGCACAGGCGACGCACGCACGCGCACACACACACACACGCGCGCGCGCAACAGCTACATAGCCAAGTTGTGTGCGTGTGTGTGTAATTGTAACTGTATTTAATTGTATTTAAATACAATTTAAATATAATTTATTTGTTAATTTTATTTTTTAATTTATTTTTTATTTTTTAATTTTTATTGTTATAAAGTAAACGCTTTTAGTTGAGTGGCGCGGGAATTTTTGTTGTTGTTTTTTTTTTTAATTTGTTTTTATTGCACTTTTTTGTTTTTATTTATTTTTTATATGTGAAATTTCTAATATCACAGTGGGGGGTAGGGCGGGGGGCAGGGGGCTGTGTGTGTTTTCTTTTATGCTTAGCGCTGCTTTAGCCAAAAACTATAGATCGTTTATATATATATATATAGAAGTTGTATATATCTATTAACTATATATATATATATGTGTATGTAGGTTTGTATGTATGTATGTGTGTATGTATATGGGTTTCGCTTTTGTATATAGTTCTAACGTTGTCTTCAGGCCCTTTAGGTACTAAAACTGCTGCATCTGCTTCGCGTTATATATAGGTATATATATATATATATATTTTTTTAGATCTGGTTAATAATTTGTTTATGAATTTTGTTGTAGACTATTTTAACTATTTAATAAGACACTTGTTCGCGTTTATATTTAGATAGAAATGTTTGTTTTAAGCAATTTTTAATTAGTTTTTTTTTATAATTTTTCAAAATTTTTTGAAAATTTTTTGAAATTTTTTCAAAATTTGTTTAAAAATTTTTCTCAATTTTCAGCCCTTTTGCAGCACATGCAAATTTTGATGGCTGGCAAATTTGATATTGTTGTTGTTGTTGTTGCTCTTTGAAGTTTTGGGCTTTTGTTGTTGTTGTTGTTGTTGTTGATTTTTTAGCACTTTCACTGCGACTTTGTTGCTGTTGCTGCTGCTGCTGCGTTTGCTGTGATTTTTATGTTGTTGCTTGCTGCTGTTGCTGTTGTTGCTGTTGTTGCTGCTGCTGCTGTTGTTGTTATGCTCATTGTTTTGTCGATTTCTCTGTTTTGTTTGATTCCAAATCAAAATTTCCAAAAATACGAAAATTTCACGACAATTAATTCCGGAAGACATTTAGGCGCATTCTTCAAAACAGCATTTCAAATGAATTTCGTTTAATAACTTTTCCTCTTAGACACATATATATGCACACATATATATATATGTATATATATATATATATATTTGATATATAGATTTAACTTGGTTTGTTTTCTTGTTGTTTATTTAAACACTTTGATGTATAAAATGGTTTGGCCCGTTATATAAATGCTTTTGCTGCGCGTTGTTAGCCATGGCCAATGCATGGCATTCAGCATATTGTTAATTTTCAAGGGGCGTGGCAATTAGCCTGCGAAATTTTTTAATTAAGATACATATATACACACACATACACATATGTGTGTATGCATGCCTCTGCGTGTGTGTGTGTGTGTGTGTGCGTGAATGATTTTTTCCAATAATTGAATTTGCCTTTAAACATCAAACAGGGCGCGAATACAGTACATGAAAACTGGGCCGCTAGCTCCTAACCAATACTCACCACCCCCACCCCACACCCGCAACAACAACTCCACTGTGGCAAATGCATGAGAATGTAACATGAACATGAAAAATCGATATAGAAATGAGATTTAAGGGTGCTAGACAAGCTAGCAACGGGGGCTGGGGGCTGCGACTAGTCATAATATAGCTGTGTGGGTGGGGCTGGGGCTGGGGGTGTGCTGGGCAACTCTGTCAGACAGGCGCGCCGCCTGCAGAAACGAACATGAAATGCAGTTTACGAAGCGACATCAACAACAACGACGACGACGACGACGACGCATAAATCACACAACGAAAGCTCTGCACGTGTATGTGTGTGTGAGAGAGAGAGGGAGCGCAAGAGAGTGACAGCGCAAGCCATGTGCGTGCATGTGCGTGTGTGTGTGTGTGCGCTTGTAAACACTGAAAAAGTTCTATGACCCAAAGCTTGAGCGTTTGCCGGCAAAAGCAAATGAATATAAAACACATTTTTAGTTTTTTTTCTTTCTATTTCGGATAGGAGAGGGTGGGCTGCTTAGCTGGAGCGTAGCGCAGTGTGAGGTTTTAGTTGTTGGGGTGGGCGCCCTGTGGGGGTTAGTTAATAGGAACTTCAAATGCGGAAGCAGCAGGCGGAGTGTAGCAAGCGCAGCGCGGCGCAGCACAGCGCAGCGCAGCGCAGACATGCAAATACGTCACCAGCAAATCGCTGTTGTTGTTGTTGCCATCGTCGTCGTCACCAAAGCGACAACAACAGAAATTGTGCCAGCAGCGGCGACAGCAACAAAAACAAACTAACTGTAACTAAAGCAGCGACAGCATTTCTTTGCCCCCAGCCCTAGTACCCAGCTTACTATTGTTGTAATGGAGAAATTTACATATAGAAAAACGTAGCTAGCAGAACGCTGGCGTCGCTGTCGGCAACAGTGGGCAGCGCTGAGAGCGCATAGAGTCAAATAAACTGAAAAGAAAATGAAAATGAATAGCAAAAGCAACAACAACAACAACAACAGTAGAAGAAGCAGAGCGAAGGCATGAAATTCAAAAATTCTCTCACAGCGAGCACAGTGCACGAATACAACGACAACGAACTTACTAACGGTACTAAGCCGGTCAAGCCCGAAAAAGGGAGGCAGCAACAACAACAACAACGGCAAGAACAGCAGCAGAAGCAACGGCTGACGACAAAGTTACATGCTGACTGCTAGCGTCGCTGCTTGCGTCGCTGCCCCGCTGTCGCAGTACGTTGACGCCGAAAAAGACCAATGACCTATGCTAGAGCTCTGCACACACACACACAGAGGCACACACAGAGAGACACAAAGCATGCATAGGCGCTGTCACTGTCGCTGTCGCTGCTAGGCTTTTATTTTATATACGTTTCTTTTTTTTTGTGTTTTGTAGCCCCCCTTTTAGCTTGGGTCTGGGGTGGCTCTGGCACACTTATAGACGACACATTGAGTGTGTGCTTAGCAATGTTGTTCTACTAACGGTAATGCAAACAGTTGTTGGGCGCTGGGCAAAAGGTAATGTGCGAGCGAGAAAGCCAATGAAAGTGGGCGTAGGCAGCGACACAGCCGGAGACAGCGCTGCTCTAGGTGCTCTGAACTCAACTGAACTGAACTGAACTGAGCTGAACTAAAGCTAGCGACCAACTGGGTGACTTACTGTGCAGTTGAGTTGCTCTAACTGCCAACTGTTTGCTGCTCACTGCTGGCAGTTTTCCTTTTGCGCGGAAAACTAAGAAACTGTCTACGGCTATTATAAATACCAGCCCCAAAAACCAACAACAACAACAATGGCTGATAATCATAACTGCTCACAATGGGCAACAATTTGCATTGTTTTGTTTTGTTGTTTGCTGTTGTTGTTGGCCTCGTACAGGGTAGCGGGTGTGCGGGTTGGACTTGACAAGACAATGTGCCTACATTACGAAAGATTATTACTGTGAACTTTTGACTGTCTGAAGGCAGTTGCAGCAGCAGCAGCAGATGAAGAAGAGGAAGAAGTAGCAGCAGCAGCAGCAAAGATTTGCAATTAAACTCTATTTTATGGTAGCTAGGCAACCCTAGGGAAAATCAAACAATTCTGAACTATTGATTTGAAAAAATTTGCAATGAAACTGAAGAACTTTGAAGGGAATTTTAGACTTGAATAAATATAAAATATTCTAGTTTATATTATTTCATATATATATTCCAAAACTAAATCTTATATTTACAGATTCTATTCCCTTTTTTCCCTTTTATATAAAATTAATTTAATAAGTTTTGTAATCCATTTTTTTAAGTTTTTTTAGCTTAGTTGATCTTAAGCAGTTTGAAATCTTTTACTTAAATCGAAATTCTTTTAAAAATCTCACTCCAACTTGAATCGCTTAGAAAGGGTATACAAATTTCTTTATAAGTTATTAGATAAGTTTGAAAAAAGTTATAGAAAAAATAAGAACTGCTTAAAAATAAAATAAAGTTTCTTCTGCAAGACTTTCTCTATGAAAAGTTTTTTTGATTCACATAGAAGAAAATCTTCTATGCTGCATTTTTCTATATACTTCTTTATCTATTATCTATCTATATATAAATTCTATCCATTCCCAAATCTACTCTATATTTGTCTATATTATATATACAAGTCTTAGTAAATCTATAAGTCTATTGTATATTTGAACTATTATCATATCAAGTCATATGCTACATTTTATATATATTTTATTTATATCAAATCTATGTAATATCCAAGTAAACTCGCTCAGCAGTTGGTAAACTTAGAAAATTGACTTTGACTGCAATTAAGAGATGCGGGTTCCATAAGAAGAAGAAGAATAGGAAGAGGAAGAGGTAGAGTGCAGTATTCCCAGCCTTTCTTTAACAAATTGAAGACAATTCAGGGCAAATAAATTGTACATTTGCCTAATGAAGCTTAAAAAGCTTATAGCCCATAATTAACAAGTGAATTACAAGATAAGGGTTATTTTTGTTTAATAAAAATGGGATTTACTACAAACTGAATACATGAATGAAACTTCATTTGGGTTCCAATTGGAATATTTTGATTGACTTCAAGTAGAGTAAAATTTATTTCTGACTAGAGCAAAACTTAAGTATTCATAAATGAGATCAATTTTTTTTGAGATGCAAAACTGCAAATCTGGATTTTGATAGAGTTTATTGGGCATAAGCTGAATTTAAAGCAAAATTTAAGCTATTTTTAAGTGCGAATTAAATTTCGAAATTTTTTTGAAATATTTTTCAACTATGAAAGACTCAAAACTTCAGCCTAAAACTATTCAGAACTTTTCTTGACTTCTGAAATAAGCTAAGCTCTAACTGGAGTAAAGTACAGTAGGCACTAGCTACACCAGCATTGAAGTGCATAGCTTTTATGTTATTCGAAATTTAGATTTAGAAAAAGGCTAAAGAAATTTTCAGCTCAAATAGAAAATTCTCATTGGATTTGTTTTAAAAAGTGAAGAAATTACAACAGCTACAGCACAGACCAAACTCTCAAATCGAACCTAAGCAAACTTTAGACAAGATAGTAAACCCAACTACAGTACTACAACGCTTTAGAGAACAAATTCAATATGTGGTAAAAATCTTTAAGAAATTCTCAAATATAAATTTTTGAAATATTTTGAATAAATTTTCGAACGCAAATGAGAAATGTTTAAAAATTTGAGTCTTGAGCGATATATATATATATGAGTATATAAATATATAATATATATATATATATGAATATATATATATAATATATATATATATATATATATATATATATGTATATAGATAATTATTTGTGAACAGTTTTTAGACTGTGTTTAATCCATTTGGCTTAATCAATAAATTATCCAATTTGTGTTGATTTTTTTCTTTGTGATAATCCAATAAATATCGGGCTCTTTAACGATCCTTTATGGCACACACACACACACAGGCAGAAACACACACACACACACACGCACAGTAATTTATTGCATTACACAATTCATATTTATGGAGGGTGTGCGTGTGTGTGTGTGTCTGAGTGCAAGTGGGCTGGGCAGAGTGTGTGAGAGACAGAGAGAGAGAGGTGCTGGCGGGCTTTGCATTCTCAGCTGCTCCAAAAGTTTTATTTTTGTTGTTTTTTTGGAGTCTGTACCAATAAATTACGTCACTTGCACTTCCGTTTTTGTTGTTGTTGTTGTTGTTGTTGTTGCAGTCGCATCACGAGACGTTGCAGTTGCTGCACGATTAGGCACGATTTGGAATTTGAATGCACACTTTAGATATTTGCTGCTGCTGCTGCTGCTTCTTATATATAATTTGTTGTTGTCGTTGTTGTTGTTGACTTTTCTTTACTTTTTTCTTTTTGTAATTTGTATTTTGTTTTGTTTTGTGGGCTGCAGCCTGAAACCGAGCAACTTCACCGATGCCAGCAACAAATTAGCCTGGCATTTTGCAATATTTGAATTTGTTGCAGTTGTTGCATTTGTAATTTTCTATTGCTGCACACGCACCGCACGCACACACGCACACACACAAATCGAGAGACGAACGCACGCACTCCGACACACACACACACACACACACAGACACAGAGGAGAGCGAGAGGCGGGCGCGTAATAGTTGAAAAAACGCATACACGGAGATACAATTATACACACACACACGCACACACATACGAAGAAATCATATACAATAAGTATTAAACAACAACAACAAATAATTAATAATAAAGATACAACGCGCAACGCATCGTAACCGCCGCCGCGATACGCTCAATACGAAGTGTAGCTGAAGACTGCCTCAAAATGTTATCGAGTTCGTTGTCCAAGTGGCGCGCCGCATTGCGGCCTCAGAGTGTGGCAGCAACTCACACACAAGCACGCATACACACACACACACAAGCGCGCAAGCATTCATACAAAGCAAAGAGAGCGCGCGCCAAAGAGCGCGCTAGCCGTTGCGCTCAGCATATGTCTCCACCTCCAGCTGCTCCGCTCCCACCCAAACACCAGCCAAAGCACTGTTGATGACGACGGCGACGGCGACAGCGACGCCGGCAGCGCTGCCTGCTGAGTGGGTATATGTGTCTCTGTGCCGATGACTTCTTCAATTTTTTCCAACATTACGCTTTGTGCCGTTCATTCGCTATGGCAACCGCTCCACTGGCGCTTTTCTATCTGCAAGCGTATGCATGAGTGTGCATATGTGTGTGAGAGTGAGCAGCGCGCGCTTTTTACTAATCAGCTGTTAGCATCGCTCTTACACAAAAGAGAGCGTCAGCTCGAAGAGAATGCGATGGCGAGAGCAAGCAAACGCGCATCAAAGCTTTGCTGCAGGCGGAAAAAGCTGTGTGCCATATTACTATTATTACAGCATTTGTTTTCATGGTTTTTTTTTTTTGGTTCTTTGTTTTTGTTGGCGATTTTTGTGCATTTCCTTTTTGTGCTGCGCTTCTGTGGCCGTGCGACTGCCACTGCTACGGCTACTGTCATTTCCATTTGAAATTCCCAATTAGCAGGTCAATTGCTTTTTAGGCCAAACTGTGTGCATTGCAGTCGACTAGTTTTGCCTCTCTATCGCACTCACTGGCTCACTGACTCTCTCGCTCTCTGTGTGTCTTTGTCTGTCTGGACTAGTCTGCCTGGCTGCATGTTTTGTCCATTTCTTCCTTTTGCTGTCGCTCTTCCTGTGTGTGTGCGGCATTTAATTACACTTTTAGTTGATTTTCCTCAACGACTCACTTATGCATGAAAATTGTTTCTAATGGCTTTGCAAATTGCGCATAAATGCATTTTTTATAATGCCAAACACACACACACACACGTGTGTGTGTGTGTGTGTGTGTGTTTGTCGCCACTTAACTTGAAATAGTTCTCAACTTTTGATGTCCTTTGTGCCCATTTAGAACTTTGTCATAAATTATGCTTATGCTTATTAAACCAGCTTAAGAAAATTGTTGGAAAAATTGTGCTTCGCTTGAGCTTCAAAATTGTCTTAAATATATTTTAAATAAATTGTCTTAAATATATCTAAAATATATATTTTTAATTATATATTTATTTATGTTATAAAATATAATATCTACTACTTTATAGCTCTACCATAAAAACTCCTTTAAAACATATATATATAAAATATTTTTAAAAAATATAAAATATTTTAATATAAATCTAAAGATTTCTTGGGAGTTTTTGTATAAAAATCTTGAGCAACATTCAAAAAAAAAAAATTAATAATAATTTAAATCAATTTTTATTTAAAAATTATTTAATTTTTTATGAATTTATTTAAATTTTTAAATTTAAAAATATTTTTTAATTATTTTAATAATTTTGACGTATTCATAGTTTTAATTGTAAAAATATACTTAAAGAATTCTTGTTCACAATGAAAATTTATTTTGAAATGTTATGAATGTTATGTTTTTACTAAAGTTTTATATTGTCAATGGACTTTTATTAAATTATTTGTTGTTTAAATTCCATAAATTTAAGTTTATTTTTTCAAGTCTCCATTTACCAAACTTAACAAAGCTATAGAAATGTCTTATTCATATTCAAGGATGCGCCTTAAAGATAGTAAACCAGATTAAAATATAAACAAGATGTGATTCGCAATATGATATAAATATATATATAAATATATAAGACACATATTTATATAATTAATAATTCTTCAATGCCTTTGCTTAACAAATTTAAGCGATTTCGCTTTGCTAATTTTTTTCTTTTTTTTTTAAGTTAATATGTAATATTTAAAAACGAAATTGATTTTTATAAAGCCAACGAAAAAAAATCCCCCAAAAAATGGCTAAAAATATAAAAATAAAATAAAATTAAAAAAAAATGTTAACCGTAAGCGGAGCAGCTGCCAAGGTGAACCGGAGTCAAAGTTCATAAAAAAGATATAATATTGAAATATGTTTCAGGAGACAAAGTAAAAAACATAAAATAAAAAATAAAATCAAATTAAGTCAACTTAAACCAGAAAAAAAAATAGAAAATGATGTTGCAAGCAGCTGACTTTCGGTTTGCAAAATTCGAAACGCTGCAAAGCAAAGTAGAGTTAATAAATTAATATTTTGTTGTAGCTAATTTATGTCTTGTTATTGTTGTTGTAATGCATACAATTAACTCTGCCGCAACACCAACACACGGACACAGATACAAATGTATCTTAAGTATTTGCCTGTGTTTTGGGACAGCATACAAAAATTTAAAAAAAAGCTTTGCATAAATGTAAAAAAATAATAATAATAAAAAAATACATAAAACTTCATATTATGAAATCGATTGGCAAAAACGAAAAAAATATGTCTATATGATAATGAAACGATGCTACGGTCGATTGGAAAGAAACCTCATGCGGCGCTAGCTAATGGATGGATGGGTACGTCCGTCCGTCCGTCCGTCCGTACGAGTTACAGGGCTAGTTTTTGGTGGGCTGGCAGATTCATGCATGAAATGCAAACTATAATGAACCCATAGCCAAAATCATATAGCCCCAACAATGGGGGACATCTATGCGTTCATGCGAAAGATACAAATACACGGATACAGATACACAGCCACACAGCTACACAGACACATAGATACATTGAGCATATTTTGCAAAAGCGATAGTGCGTTTGCCTGAACCTCTCGTAACTCGTCTTTGGATTTGTGTCTTGTGTAATGCCTGCTTGGCTTTTTTCCATTAATACCAATAACCAGCTTCAGGGTCGCATCAAAGCCACCTTTGCTACCAGATTAGTTAGTTAGTTAGCCATGTGCATGATATGTGCAAAAGATTTAATGAATTCATTTAGCTGTTATTGTTTCTGCTGCTATTTGCATTTTGGCAAAAAACTTAAATATGATTATTAATGCGTCTGCTGCGCTACATTTGAGACCAGACGGCAGTAAAATACATCTGCTTGAGAAACGAATTGATTTACATTTCATATTCATGCAGATTATGGAATTTGTGCTTTCAGAAAGAGAAATGTTAAGGAATCTATGGGTTAATGTTAAGCTAAGGTAGCTAACAGCGACTTACTGGCAAGTTGAGCCAGAGTTTCTGACCTGAGAAGCTTCACTTTAGGCAGCTCTGTGAGGTTGAGCTGCAACTTGGAGAGGAATGTTAAATATTTAACATAATTTATACTCTTCTAAAAAGAAATGTTAAGGAATCTGGCTTATGTTAAGCTAAGCTAGTTAACAGCGACTTACTGGCAAGTTGAGCCAGAGTTTCTGACCTGAGAAGCTTCACTTTAGGCAGCTCTGTGAGGTTGAGCTGCAACTTGGAGAGGAATGTTAAATATTTAACAGAATTTATACTCTTCGAAAAATAAATGTTAAGGAATCTGAAGGCTTATGTTAAGCTAAGCTAGTTAACAGCGACTTACTGGCAAGTTGAGCCAGAGTTTCTGACCTGAGAAGCTTCACTTTAGGCAGCTCTGTTAGCTTGAGCTGCAACTTGGAGAGGAATGTTAAATATTTAACAGAATTTATACTCTTCGAAAAATAAATGTTAAGGAATCTGAAGGCTTATGTTAAGCTAAGCTAGTTAACAGCGACTTACTGGCAAGTTGAGCCAGAGTTTCTGACCTGAGAAGCTTCACTTTAGGCAGCTCTGTGAGGTTGAGCTGCAACTTGGAGAGGAATGTTAAATATTTAACATAATTTATACTCTTCTAAAAAGAAATGTTAAGGAATCTGGCTTTTGTTAAGCTAAGCTAGTTAACAGCGACTTACTGGCAAGTTGAGCCAGAGTTTCTGACCTGAGAAGCTTCACTTTAGGCAGCTCTGTGAGGTTGAGCTGCAACTTGGAGAGGAATGTTAAATATTTAACAGAATTTATACTCTTCGAAAAATAAATGTTAAGGAATCTGAAGGCTTATGCTAAGCTAAGGTAGCTAACAGCGACTTACTGGCAAGTTGAGCCACTTCACTTCACTTTAGGCAGCTGAAAACACAGAAAACTTGGGCTTAACAAAATAAATCCTTAAAGCTTATCAAAAGTCTCAGTTCATTGCTTATTTTTAGCTAAGCTTCTGCTGGCCACAGTTTGTGTGGTTAGCTGGGTCTGTGGAGCCAAGCACCGTTAGACTCGTTATCGATCAACGATTAACGATCATGCACAATGCAGCCGCAGCAGCAGCAGCAGCAGCTCATCAATCATCCATCGAATGACATAAGCGAACTGTTTAAAGGCTAATGAGCTACGATAGATATCAACACAGATTCCGGTCAAAATGTAGATCAATCTTTGTTGCGCGCCAAGAATGAAAAGCCCTTTTTCGAGACAGTTACAAGCCACGCCTCAAGCGCTCGGGGCGCAACTCATTTGTAGCACCATCAAAAGAAACAAAAAACAAATGGAAAACCAACAAAAAACTGACAACTGCTGCCGCCTCGAGCAACTAAATCAATTTGAAGCTTAGCCAAAAGCAGCGTCTTTATGTATATATATATATATATATATCAGATATATATATATTGTATATATATAATGCCTGACGCCT